GCTCTGATCATAGAGTATCATAGCTCTGATCATAGAGTGTCATCCCTCTTTTCATAGAGTATTATCGCTCTGATCATAGAGGGACAAAATCAATATGTTGTATGATGTCATCAAATACATTATGGAGGATATATTAGTATTACATAGTATTTATATAGCGCCAACAGTTTGCTCAGCGCTTTACAATGTAAGGAAGACATTCAATAAAAGACAAGATGGTGAGGAGGGCCCTGCCCCTGAGGGCTTACAATCTAAAAGAGGAGGGGCCAATGATACATGAGGAGGTAGCTGTGAGGGGAGGAATTATTTGAGAATGTGATAGTTCAGTGGTTAGGTTGAGGTGGGATACAGTATATATAGAATAGTATACAGTATATAGATTTGTATACAGTATATAGATGTGTATACAGTATATATAGAATAGTATACAGTATATAGATTTGTATACCGTGTATATAGAATACTATACAGTATATAGATTTGTATACAGTATGTAGATTTGTATATAGTGTATATAGAATACTATACAGTATATAGATTTGTATACAGTATATATATAATAGTATGCAGTATAAAGATTTGTATACAGTATGTAGATTTGTATACAGTATGTAGATTTGTATAGTTTATAGATTTATATACAGTGTATATAGAATAGTATACAGTATATATAGATTTGTATACAGTGTATATAGAATAGTATACAGTATATAGATTTGTATACCGTGTATATAGAATAGTATATAGTGTATATAGAATAGTGTACAGTATATAGATTTGTATACAATATATAGATTTGTATACAATATACATAGAATAGTATACAGTATATATATTTGTATACAGTGTATATAGAATAGTATACAGTATATATAGATTTTTATACAGTGTATATAGAATACTATACAGTATATAGATTTGTATACCGTGTATATAGAATAGTATACAGTATATAGATTTGTATACCGTTTATATAGAATAGTATACAGTATATAGATTTGTATACAGTATATATAGAATAGTATACAGTATATAGATTTGTATACCGTGTATATAGAATAGTATATAGTGTATATAGAATAGTGTACAGTATTTAGATTTTTATACAATATACATAGAATAGTATACAGTATATAGATTTGTATACAGTATATATAGATTTGTATACAGTATATATAGATTTGTATACAGTATATATAGAATAGTATACAGTGTATATAGATTTGTATACAATATATATAGATTTGTATACAGTATATATAGAATAGTATACAGTATATAGATTTGTATACAGTGTATATAGAACAGTATACAGATTTGTATACAGTGTATATAGATTTGTATAGTGTATATAGAACAGTATACAGTATATATAGAATAGTATACAGTATATAGATGTGTATACAGTATATAGATTTGTATACAGTATATAGATTTGTATACATTATATATACGTCCAGCAGCACACACATCCATGCAGACATGTGACTGAATGTTGATCACCTCCCACTCCCCGCAAAGCCACGCCCACGCCCCCTTTCCGCCTTCCCCTCTCCCGCCTCTCTGGGCGGCACCGTGACGTCAGCGCGCTGGTGACGTCACAAAAGGAACTGGCAGAGCGGCGTTTCGGGTTCAGCTGGGAGCCCGTAGAGAGTGAGTGTTACCAGCCCGGGTCACCGAGACACCCGCACCGCGGCCGGCTTGAGAGACACGTCTGAGCTCCGCGAAGCCTGGCACCGAACCCCGAGCCGACATTCAGGAGGCGGAATCCGGGTCCTCGTCACCCTCCATCCGGGCCACTAAGGAGGTCACTCCACCCACAGGGCCCCACTGCGTCCCCAGCGAGGGGGGAGAGGGTCTTCACTGAGGGGAGAGAGAGCCTTGGGGGCCACAGCCTGTACCTCCCCCACACCGTGTCACCTTATAGAGCCCCCAGCTGGTCCCAAGAGCTGACACTCGCCACACAAAGGAGCTGCAGTTGTCTTGGCTTGTGTGGGCCCTCACAGGAGGCTGGTCCCAAGAGCTAACACTCTACCGCAGCCAAGGGAAAGAGCTTTCAGAGGCTACAGACTTTGGCTACCTTACCGAGCCCTGAGTAAAACTATACAGGGCCCCCACAGGCCGCTTGGGTCCAAGAGCTAACACTCTACTGTGGTGAAGACAAAGAACTGTGAAAGTCTGAAGACTGTGACTGTAAATATATACAGAGCCCCGGAGGGCCCACACAGGCCGCTGGTCCCAAGAGCTAGCACTTTATTACGTCTAAGACAGAGATCAGAGTGTCTACGGAGTGTGGATAACTTGCCAGGCCCTAAGTAGGTCTGTACGGAGCCCCAGAGGGCCCCCACAGGCCGCTGGTCCCAGGAGCTAGCACTTTACTAGACCAAGACAAGGATCGGAGAGTTTACGGATAGCTTACCAGGCCCCGAGTAAGTCTACGTAGGCCCAGGGGGCCCACACAGGCCGCTGGTCCCAAAAGCTAACACTCAACTGCTGTGGGGACAAAGGAACTCCCCCTGCTGACCACCAAGAGCTTCTCTGGTCCCTGCTAATGCTACTGGATACAGGCCCACAGGAAGCTGCTCCCAAGAGCTGACACTTGTGACGGAGACACGCTTTATCTGGACTGCGGCTTTGGTCGTAGGCGGATCCCGTTGGTGGTGGAGGTAAAGGACTTTGAGACCCTAGAGGAACCTGGTCTCAAGAGCTGACGCTCTATACA